ATACTTGAGCTTGTCGGCATTCTACTTGAGGTTCATTCCATATCAAATATTCATTCAAGGCTCATTACAAGTTTCAACCAAGATTCACTCAAGTATTGATTTAAACCTCAAGTGTCGTTCAAGCTTATTGTTCGGGTTTCATCATCAAGTGTCATTTAATTTCGTTCATCTCAAATTTAAGTACAAGTACCATGGTCAAATATTATGTAATAAGAGGGAAAAAAGTTTGCTTTAGATGAAAACTATCATCAAACTTTAGAGACTACAAGAAGAGAGTTATTACAAAAGGAGAATCATGTGTTCATATGACTTTAATATCACATTACTGAGTTTTCAAGCTCAATACATCATACACCATTTTAAAATTACTAAGAAACATTACAAAAAGTTCAAGTTTTATTACATCCTAAGAAGTTTCTTCGACCAAGTTTTCCCATACTTCACATATCAATAAATTCAAAATGTTAGAAAACACATACTTTTAATTCTAATTTGAAAACTCACAAACCACTTATTCTCAAATATTTCAAAAGAATTTTGAATCGTAAACACCTGCAAATGATTTCTTTCATCTCATACCTCATTCTTTATCCATTGTTGCATGGATCCAAATCTCATATATAAAGATTTATGATTGTTAACGATATTCGTTTTTGAGGTTTAGAGGTTCGAAAGGGTGTGGGATGTTGTGAATGGTTCTGATGATTCCAATGGAAAATAAGGAGGCTCTTCTCTCCAGGTTTACCATGGTAATGATGTGTGGAAGCTTACAAACATGAGATGAGTTCTTCTAAATCTTAGGACATAGCAACGCCTAAGATATCGGTGGGATTGACTAAAGATCACCATAAAACTGAGAATTAGAAGCAGGTTGTTGGGGGTTGGAAGATTCAAGAAGTGAATTCAAATAAAGATTTCTCAGAGTTTAGTTTGTGGAATGTGTACAAGTCAACAATTTATAAAGAATAATTTTATTTTTCAGGGATAAATTTTGATATTATGATTGTACAAATTCTTGTAATTTTGTTACAAATATTATTGTAAGACTAAAAAATATTTAATGGGAAACCATTAGATACTAGAGTAGGCACAAAGCAAGGACAAAAGCGTCAAAATAGTATAAACTGGTGTACACCTCTCTCTCTCTCTCTCTCTCTCTCTCTCTCTCTCTCTCTCTCTCTCTCTCTCTCTCTCTCTCTCTCTCTCTCTCTCTCTCTCTCTCTCTCTCTCTCTCTCCTTTTTAATTTTCGTAGAACATTTCATTATTAGGTTATTCTTTATTGGTTTCTAGAAATTGCATGCCATTAAGATTTCCTTTGGTCGCGATTTATCGTAAAGGTGTAGGTTTTGTTAGAACTGGTACTTCAATTTTTTCTTGTTATCGATTAAACTAAAAATTATGGTTGTAGAATTCACTAAGTGTTGATATTGTAAGATCACACTACTTGTGTAATTTGTCAATTATTTAAAGCATTGTTAATTTGTACATTTGGTTAAATTTGATTGTCAGTCTTAATTGTGTTATGAGTTGTTTAAGTGTTTACGTGTCAATTATAATCTGTAAGCATAATTTCTTTATTCGCCAAAATCGTTTCTGATACGCAAAATGAATTTTGTTTTTGAAACTATGATAAATAGTTTTTAAACTATTCTTTAATAGAAAGTTTTTGTGAAAGGTCTATCCACCCCCTCTAAATCGTTTTTTTCACATTCGCACCCAACAATCTTCTGATAGGTGGAATGTTCACCACACTTGATGATGTCTCGTGCCTTCTTCATCTTTCAATCTAGAGAAAATTATTAAACTACTTCAGGACCATCAGACTTGAGGCATTGGATATGATGGTGACTTATTTAAGAGTTGGTCTGGGAAAAGCTTGACATGAGTTAGATGACACTAGAGGATATCATGCAATGTTTTCATTCTTGGTGGATTTATATGAGCACCTCTTGGCTGCATTTGTGGATGCTGATGGTGATGATGCATGAGTTTATACCATAAAGCCTAACATTGAGGCCATGCCTCCATGCCTCTTATTTTGATCGGCACATCCATTTTTATGGACAAAAGGGCGACCTATGTCGATTTTATCTACTTTAGGCATTTCAATTACTTTGAGAGAATTCACGAGTATAATTGGAGGATTTCTTGTTTGGTGTACCTCTACTCTTGATTAGTTGAGGACGGTATATGGAAGACTCGACAGTTGACTAGAAACAACTATCAATTTAAGGTAATTTTTTTGCACCTTTACTGATACTAATGTCATAATACCTATGATACACTATTCTATTTCTAATATTTCATTTAAACCATTTTCAAGCATGGATCCAACAGTACTTTTCATGTCTCACCAATTGGGCATAATGGGATACTACTTTATGGCTTTGTCACATGCGTGCTCGATCATTCTGCTCACACGTAATCATGTGAGTAATCCGTTTTGAGTAGCTTTTGATTGCATCATGCTTGATATATTTGACGGATTTCATATGTCGATCGTCTTAAGACACGGGCCATGGAGGTGATAGCATTTTACTCTGGATGACTGACCTATGGGTCTCAAATTATGTACCTTCATCTACTTGAGTAAGTCTTGCGCTAATTTGGGTATATCCAATGTATATACCCAGAGACCCCCATCGTTAATGCTCTTGTCATTGTCCTCTGCATAGATGTTGATGAGATCTTTCAACGTACATAGGGATATCAATTTGTATCTGTTAACAGGGATCTCTGTGGGATTATCTGTTCGGAGCATCGAAGTTGGGGATTCTTTCCCCCGTGAGGATGGGGATGGAGGGAAAAGTTCCTCCGATGACACTTTGTGAAGGGGATTGGGAAAGTACCCACCGTCCCGTGGATTCCCCGACTCCGACCATATTATTTATATTTTATATATTATATAATATATTATTATATAATTTTACATAGGAAATATATAAAAGGAAGAGTCATTAGTGAATGATTTTATTGAAATTATTTTATTTTATAATGTATTGTTTCACTACTCAAGAACCCAACCCTAGAACATAAAATATGTCTCCTCATTTTCTTTTCTCAATTATCTTTGCCTACTTCATTCATCATTTCATCTATTCTCATCATCATCACAACAACCACTCTCCTTTGTTCATTATGCTTATGATAATTACTCTTCAAATTCACTTTACTTCCATTAGTAACATGTTTTTCATTCAATTAATAAATTAGTAGTTATGGATTTGCCACACTCACACATAATCCACCATTTTCGCTAGACAACAACAGTACTATGGTAGTAAATTAGCGGAAACATGATAGCAATAAGTTCTGTTAATTATTTATTTTTTATAGAAAAATATTAGCAACAACAAGTGTTTTTGATTATTTTTATTATTGATGCAAGATGTATTTCATTTTTAAAAAAAATGTAAAATATGTATTTTTTAAGAAGGAAAAAATAACGAAATACTAGTGTCATAGTTTTGATCAAAAAGTATATAAATTTTTTTAAGATTTGATCTCTGTATATCTCTGGGGATTTGTGGGGATGGGGGTAAATATTCCCCCATGGCGGGAATTGAGGACGAGGATAAAGAATAAATTTAGGGACGGGGTGAGGAGCGGGTAAGCATCCTCTAAACATTTCCTGCCTCACTGACATCCCTAAACGTACTTTGATCATCTTGTGTCAGAGGATATATGTATGTCGTGTATCAGCTCCTCGGTTATAGAGTACGGTATACGACTACATACAATGGTTTTAAAGAGTATTACATCCTTATATGACACTAGATAAAGAGGGGTCCCCCGAGGCCAACTCATCGAGAGAACTCACAAGAAGAGCAGACAGGGTCCTACCATGTTGTTGATGAGTTACTGATATATCATTGCACTGTGGCTATTAAGATATATGTCATGGCTAGAGGCGAGTTTGTGGAAGACACCCCTCAGATAGTCATTACATATATCATCTTAGCATAGACACATCAAGTGTTGCAGTACGAAAGGCAGGAGAGGAATAAGGGTGATAAATATATACAATAATGGAATTTTATTTTGTTTATTTTAACATTTTAGTATTATAGTTTGTACTTAAGTTGATTATGACATGGTGATATTTTGTATTTAACATTTTGACATTTATATACATATGGTAGCTCTTCTGATCTTATTATTGAATATTTTGTATTTAACATTTTGACATTTATATACACATGGTAGCTCTTCTGTTTTGATCTTATTATTGAATGAAAAATATATATGATTTGTTATGGAATTGATTTATAAATAACTTATACTATAAGTTTATTGAAAAATATCAATTTTCTTCTACTCCCTCCGTTTCACAATTCACAATAAATGTCATTTTAAAAAAAATATTATTTCAAAATGAATGACATTCTCATTTTTAATGTAGAAATAATTACTAAAATGATAGTGATATCCACCACATTAATAAGATTTATTTAGTAAAAATGTATTATTTTATGACAATATTATAGCATTCATTAATCTTAATGCAAAAACCATAAACAACAATCATTTTAAAACCAATGGAATAACTTATTGACAAAGAGTGAAAAATAATATCAAATGGTTAATCCGAAGATTGGTATTCAAACCTATGAGATTGCAAGCTAAGTAATTGTGACAAAAATAGAGTGAGTTGGTTATAAAGTGATTTTGTTATAAAAATAGGGGCGTGTAAATTTTAAAACCAACAGTATAAAAAGGACGTTTTCATATTTTCTCATGTACTACATGAGGGTGTTGTAAGCACCGCCCATAGATCAAATAAACTGCTCAAACAAGACATGGCCCGGGCCGTCCCAACCTGAATTTTAGAATATTGGAAATAATCTATTAAGCATGATATTTCTCAAAGTACTCATCTATGTTCTGAAGAGTAAAACTAAAGAAAACAGGCCAATTATGTCCCAAATACCAAAACTGTCAAAATACATAGGGTGAAAGAAGAAATGGAAGACATAACAAGTTAAAATTGAGATAAAAATCAAGCATCTGCAATGGTCACTTCAACTTCGACACCAGGTTCAATGGTGATGGAGGTGATTTGCTTAACAACATCCGGAGAACTGTATAGGTCAATGACTCTCTTGTGCACACGGAGTTCAAATCTATCCCAAGTGTTGGTACCTGAAACAAGTAAAGTTATGAACATAATTCATTCAGTAAATAAGAACATTCATCAAACCAAACCTTCAAAAGTCAAATAAGCCGGCTAAGGCAAGAGACTAATAGTTAGGATTAGGACACACTATAAGCGTAACACAATCAAGCATTCAAAACCAAGAAGTAATTTCATAATAACAAAATGATAATGAGAAAGCCCTGCAATGCACGCACATAGAAGTAAATTAACTATGATATACTAATCAGAAAATTGAAAGATTCATAAATTCCAAAGTGTTACATGATTGTTAAGTAATTCTAGCAGCTTATTAACATAAACTATGAGTATAATTATGAATAAAAAGGTAACTTTATCATGTTATAAAACAATCCAAAAAATACCTTCTCCACAAGGGGACTTCCTGGTAGTGATGTGAAGAACTTTAGTGGGCATCCTAACAGGTCCCTTCACTCTAAGACGCTTATCCTTAGCACCACGAACCAAATCACCACAAACTAATCATAACAACAACAACAAGAGTGAAAGTGAAAACGTAACAAAACCAACAAAACCATAAAACCAAACACGAACGGATCGATGAAATACCCTTTTCGAGATTCTGCACGTGCTTCGAGGAAAGGGTGATCCTGATCTTGTGGATCTGTTCCTGAGACTCCTCCAAACCAGGCTTCGTGGGTTTAGGAGCTGCGTACGCCATTTTTGTTTCTTCAGAGTACAAACTGAGTGAAGATGAAACTAGGGCGCCGCAAGAGACGTAAAAGAGGAAGCAAGGTATATAGTAAACAAGAGTTTAACAAGAGATTGTTGGGTTATGGGTTTGGGTTTTTAGGTTTCAAAAATAGGCCCAGCCCATTAAAGTTTTATTTTGATACACCAAAGTTTGAGAATGAGATCATGCAAAATAACCTTATTAATGTCACATTAGATTAGATGTGAACTTCTCCTAATTGATGGTTTCCTGGGTATTTTTGATAAATATTTTTATAGTTTATTTGGATAAATTTTAAATAATATTTCTGAATTTTATTATAATAATTATGATTTTTAAAATAATAATATAAATTAATATCTTTTCTTTTTGTATAGAATTATAAAAGAGTATTTATCACTATTGAGGCCTAAAACAAACTCTAAAAATTTGGTATTTTTAAAATTAATTTAAATAAATTTATTTATTTTTGAACTTTTTGAGATACAAAATCATTTTTAAATTATCATAATCGATTTCTTGTTAAATTTCCTTTTCAATGGATGATAAAGACAATGTCTTTAACCTTTGTTGATAGATGTCAATCTTATATAAGATTTTATTAATTTTAATTTTGAAAAACTACATTCTACATAAGCAACACACACTTACATGAATTTTCAATATTATTTTATAAGCAATATATGTATTTTGAAAAGAATCAATTCTTTTTGAATAAGTGAGTATTTCAATTGGTATATCATTCTCTACAATGTATAATTTCTTTTTAGGATGTTTAGTTCTATAAATAAATCTAAACCATCAATATATGAGTCTAAGGACCCCCACCTAATGTGGTATATATATCGCACATGAGACATCCTCCTAGAACGTGGAGATCACTATGAGGTAGGTGATTTGTATAGTATCGTTATATGAGAAAGACATCTGAGCATCTCAGTCATTGCAAAGGATATCATAAACACTTGTATTTTTTTTACAAGTACACAATATTAATAAAGGATGGAAAAGAAATTTAAAACACTAAGACTTGAAAATTGCCATATATATGGTATGACATAAGTAAGAATTGCAATTAACAAACTTAATTATTTATTTTCATTAATAATAATGTTATTTAATAGATGAATGAAAAATATATGTTTAAGACTTCTAATTTTTGGGGTTGCAGTTATCCCTAAGAAAAGTAAGGTTTCTTTATTTGGTAATGTAACTTCAAACAGAGAGCATATTACTTTTTCTTTTGATAGTGTTGAATTTCATGGTCTTCCAACTAATAGACCAAGTATAAAAAAAATCAATTATATTTTTTTTAATTAGTCAAATAAAGAAAATGAAAATCTCATGAAATAGAATAAAGGCTATTAATTTTTTTTAAACTTAAGATTGTGTGTGCGCGCACGCATGTGTGTGTATGTGTGTGTGCGTGTGTGTATGCACGTGTGTGTGTGTGTGTGTGCACGCGTGTGTGTATGTGTGTGTGTGCGCGTGTGTATGTGTGTATGTGCGCGCGCGGGCACGCGTGTATGTGCGTGTGTGTGTGTATGGGTGACAAAGTAGGCGGCCCACTCCATTTAAGCGTGTACATAAGCGGGCCGGGGCAGGCTAATTCAAGTGTCTGAGCGAAAAAGTCAAGTTCGCCTCATTTCGTAACGAGTTGATGGATTGGCGGGCCGATCCACCAATTTATTCAATATATTTTATAATTGGCTTAAATGCAGTTTTGACCCCCCTAGTTTAAGGTTTTTGGAGTTTCGATCCCCCTAGTTTAAAAGCCAGGTTTCTAGTCCCCAAAGTTTTCAAATTTGGGATTTTTGAAGCCCCCCTCCATATCTGGCTGCCCAAAAAGTGACGTGGCAATGCCACGTTTTTTTTTTTTTTTTTTTTTTAAAATTTTTTTTTTTTAAAATTTTTTTTTTTTTTAATTTTTTTATTTTAAAAAAAAAAAATGTTTTTCTTCTCCTCATGGGCAAAATTAAGGTTCGAAAGGAAAAAAAAATACGTGGCATTGCCATGTCACTTTTTGGACAGCGAGATGGAGGGGGCTTCAAAAATCCCAAATTTGAAAACTTTGGGGACTAGAAACCTGGCTTTTAAACTAGGGGGATCGAAACTCTAAAAACATTAAACTAGGGGGGTCAAAACTGCATTTAAGCCTTTATAATTTAATTTATTACACGATTTACAAAAATATTAATCATTACCAAAGATACGGATAAAAGATTCTTTTTTATAATGCATAATAGAACTTCTACATGTCTTAAGTCCAAACTGCTCCAAAAATAAAATAAATAAAGATCAATTACAAGAAAAACATAACGAAATAGACTCTAGTAAATTAAAATAAAATGTATCAAAATAACTAAATAAACAACACATATCATCTTAATTCTATTTAAAATCTAACTATTAAAAGAACTCAATTAATAATTTGCACAAGATAAACAATGATAGCAATTATTGTGCATAAAATGTCACAATGTATAAAATAGTAGTGCATAAGATATTAACACATGACTTTATTACTGTTTACATCATATAGACTCTTATAATTACTGATTCCTTAATAATTATATCATAAATTTGTCACGCGTATACACTAATCAAATCATCCATTTTCTTAAGATCAACATAAGTTTCTAAAGAAAACATGTGAGCTAATGTATTGACAACATAATTCTTCTTCATGTCATACAATTATTCTTTTTTTTCTCCAAGTTTTTTCAACCAACGCATGTATTAGAAAGTTATAGAAAGAACCTTACAATTATAATTCAATATGTTCGTATAATAGTTTAGAACTCAATTTAATCAACATAATCCTAAGAGAATAGTGTTGTTTTTATAGTTAAAATTGTTTTAATTCTAAGTAACAAATAAAAAGTTTTAACAAAAAGCCCGCAGGTAAAACCCGACTCGCCCCGCCTTGGCCTGATTTTTAAAGCGGGTTAGGCGAGGCGGACCAACTTCAGGTACCGACCCGAAAACCTCAGCCCAGCACGCCAAAAGAGATGGGTCAAACGGGTTGGCCCGACCAGTTTTACAACTCCTATGTGTGTGCGCGTGCTTCTGCGTGTGCGTCTTTGTGTGTGTGTGTGTGTGTGTGTGAGTGAATGTGAGTGTTTGCGCTACCAAGTTTATATCTTTTCATACCTTGAAGCTAATTTAATATTACAGTAGAGAAAACTTAAATAAACTACTAATATATAACAACACAAAACAACTTAACCCATAAAAATAATACTAATTCTAATTATACATCTAACGTACAATATCTTCAGCAGCAAGAGCGGTACACCGTCTTTAGCACCAAAAACAAGAATTAAAAGAAAGCCATTAAAAACAACACATTAATTAGAATTACATAAATAAACGCACAATAAACCCCTAGCCTTTCAACAGCAAACTGACCAAGAGTTATCCATAATACGGCCACATATGCACCCTCATGCAAAGCACCGACATACACATAAGCAAAATTAGAAAGCGGATAACCAATATGTTCCGGAGAGCTAAACCACATATAAGAACCAAAATGATCACTAAAGAAGTCGAAAAAAGACGTTGCACATTAGCAGAAAAATTTGATACATCATATATTGGTTTTCATCACCACTAAAAGCCAACACTAAAGTTATTGCTTTGCACATAAGTTCTGGGAAACAACCTTGTTGAGCGGTTGCGTTTTTCGACCAAACCCCATGGAAATTTGGAATGTTATAGCAACTATGACAGTGGCTATGATCATGAGAGATTCTCTCATCTCTACTATCCAGTTAGCTTTGTTTACGAATCCTCTGTTGTGAACTGATAATTCCTTTTCTCCATTGTGAACCGCGAACCCTTCCATTTTCTAAGTAATTTTTTCTTGAAATTTAATATCTAATGGCACTTAAAAGGATTTATTGCAGTAATAATTCTAGTATTTTGAGCCGTTTATATAGAAGGGTGTGATATGTGTGTTTGCATTTTGATGAAACTAGTTTCTTAATTATGATTGCTATTTTGGTATTTATGTTTTCAATTTAGAGTTTTTTTGTGAGGAGAGGAAGGAAGAGTAAGTAATTATAGAGAGGAAATTTTCTTGCACGTTCTTCCTAGGAGAGTACATTTTCTTTTGACACGTTTTTTCCTTGCAAGCTTCACAATTAGAGAATTTATTATAGTAATAATAGATGGGTATGATGTGGTGCGTAAGAATTTTGATGAAACTAGTTTCTTAATTATGATTGCTATTTTGGTATTTATGTTTTCATTTTGGAATTTTCTGTAAGGAGGGGAAGGAAGAGTAAATAATTATGGAGAGGAAAATATATCAAATAAAATAGATATTGTAAAACTTACACAAATTAAATAAAATAAGTGTTATACATTTAAATATATCAAGAATTAAATACAAGAGAAAAAAATGGTGGATAGGAAGACACCTTAGTGGATATAGATATTACAATCTCTCTCTCGATAAGTGGATAAGTAGTATATAACTGCTACCTAGGCCATTCAATTATACCTTCAATGAGTAACCAAGTGCATAGCATCAAGAGACTCAAACAAGACCATCGCATGATGAGCCTGATGAGTACATCAGAACTTAATATGGTACCAAGTGGATTACACCCACGTGGCTACACAAGTCTGTCTGTGACGAGTTCATCAGAACTTAATCCAGAACAAAGTAACATTTCCTATGTGGCATCACAACTCCATCAATCATCCATACACAGATGGGTATCGCAAGTGTGAAAACGCCTACATGACTGCACAAGCCCATCGGGTGAAAGCCTAGCAATATTTTCCTATGTGGCATCACTAGAGGTGAGTTCATCGGAACTTAATCCATAACAAAGTGATATTTCCTACATGGAATCACAATCCCACCATACCATTCACGTTGATATGTTAATATCAAGTGGGAAACACTCTTTGGGACCCTCACAAGCATATCACAATGGTAGCTCAGGTGTATACAATATACTGATAACATTGAT